TAAAGGAAGATAACCTCGATCCCATGTGTACCTTGATCTCTTGGATCTTGAAGGAAGGGAACGCCCGCGGGCGCTGATCGACGGGTACGGATTCACAGGAGATGAGGAAAAAGACTGGTGACGACAGCAAGATGAGGAAGAGGAGGAGAAAGGACCTCAAGGGATTGCCCATCTCAGCTTCCTCTTTCTTCTCCGTTCTCGGTACCCCTTTTACCGACACAAGATGCCGGAAACCCGAACGCTTGTGTTCATGACACTCACTCGCCGCACCTGCCAAAGAAGGCCCCCCATCGGAAGGGTAAATTAGTCATCTTACCTCCACACAATCGGATGCCAGTAGGGATTGGCTACACTGTGTACGATTCCGAACGATGATCTTATGTCGCCACGTGGTTCACAAATGCGGAAAGACGGTTTACCCGCCCGTGATGGCTAATTATAAGGAGTTGTTGCCAAAGACCGACTCCTTATAATTAGTCGATTTTGCTAAAAAGTTATAAATATTTTTTGATCCAATGAGAATATTTTGGATAATATTAAATTTCTTTTTCCAGCCTTCAAATAATCAATGTGACGTATGTTTCAGAGTCACAAATGGTATAATAGTTCATCGGCTCGTCAATTTTGGAATGGTCTGCTTCTCACCCATCAGTTTGAAATCTCAATTTAGTAGTAATGATATTTTATTTTTTCAAAGAATACAGGTTTAGCTGATGACAGTACAAAAATTATCCTCATGTTTTAATAATATGGAAAGCGGAAGCAAAATCGATAAATAAATAAATAATTTAAAGTTTATAAAAATAAAATATTTTTAAAAATTAGACTTAAATGAGTTTGATACAAGAATTTTAGTAATCGTTGTGGGGAGAGTATTATTGATTGTGAGTCGACATGATTTAGTATGGACCGAAGGCACAATGATGATCTCACATGGTAGTCTTGCAAGATAGTTGATATGGCATTAAGATACCCGAGATGGTCTACAGGTGGCTCGGGAACGTCGATAAATTCTTACACAAATGTTAACATCAGAGAGAGTTTTCCGACTTGATCGCTCTGATGCTCAAGTTAATTTTTGAGGTGTTATGTAATGTAAAGAGATTTCTTGGAGAGAGGCCTGACCCCTAGGCTAGTGTCAGGGGTCGACTTTTATACCTGTTTAGTCGAGGGAAGAACATGCAACGATCGTAATACCCTCTCTTTAGCATTTTGTCCACGGAGGCTACAGGTCTAAATAGCCTCCCGTGGACTGTTGTCCACGGGGCCGACCAAGGGGGGGAAGCAAGCTCGAACAGTCACCCATAAACTACTATCCACGAAGGCCAACAGAGCGAGCTCGAACACCACCTCGTGGACTATATTGTTCGCAGGGGTTGATAGGTCATAATTGCCTCCACATCACTACCCAGTATGGGGGTGAGCCCGAGGTGGTTCTTGGAATGACCTTTTGTGGGTTTCTTCGTGCTTGCTTGAGATCATCACTTCTACAATTATGTACCAATTGACCCTATGGAACATCTTGAGAATTATCATTGGTGGTTTCTCGACTAATGACTAGAAGAAACGGATGAACCTTAGGCCATCATAAAGGCCTATATCACTAGAAAGGGTGTGGGCATCCTACACGCCTCATATTTTGCCAACGAACCACGTCAGGAAGTCAAAGAGAGTTTCATCATGTCTTTGTCTCAACTCGACTAACATTGCCACGGATGTATGTTCTAAGGAAGTGAAACTCGAATTCCTTCACGAGTTGAGCAAAGAACAAAACTGAGAGAGTGACTTCAAGCAGTCGTTCCATTCTTGCACAAAGCCCCTTTGTGTTAGTGGGAACGCTCAGCACATCTGAGCTCTAAAAGCTACGGTGTACTCCACTGGACCAGCTCAAACGACCTCTCGTAGACCATTGTTCATGGCGATTGATATATCGAAATTGCCTCCATGTCACTACCTAGTGGAGGAGTGACTTAGCCTTTGTCTTTCACATCATCCTCTTTGTGATGACTAGCCAACGAGCTGTGATTGATTACCAGAATATTCCAAGAATAACACCATTTTAAATCATTAAACTTAGATATATAAATAAATTAATTATTGATATAATTATTATATAAAAATCTACATAGACAAAAGCACAAGCTGTGACTGGGATAAGAGAGTTTCTGCAAGTTGAAGAACTTAATCCATCTCGAACAAGGATTCGTCCTTTTTCCATGTCAATGTTGAAAGTGATCTCCACTGAGCTTCTTCAGGGTCATAAAACAACATACCGATCATTATCACTATCAATGTCATGTGTTGGTGTAGACGACACATTATGTCTCATCTGCTATGAACCAGGAGATGATATCATGTACAAAGAAAAAAAAATAAGAATTCTGAAAAGAATTTAGTTTATGCAGAAGAACTCAGCTGATCGACAAACACGAGCAAAGCTATGTGGATATAACTACCTTTATCATGAATTCCAGAATTTGAAGTGCTTCAGAAGAATTTGACTAAGAAACATTTGGTATGTAAAGGATCAGACATAAATTTTCAGCATGTATGAGCACATATAGAATAAACTCTTGAGAATGCATACATGTGCAATTTACATGTTTGGAGGCTAGCAATATTATCTAAGGAAACGGGTCGGCATCCATTCATGCACTCTGATAGGGAAGCTATAGAACTCTTCATTTCTGGCATCATTCTTGTTTAAAGGATTCAACCATAAGAACCCTCTGTCGGAGAAAGAAGTCCGGGCCTCCAGTGTGTTATCCAGCACTATTCCTACTATAAATGCCACTGTTGGAGCCGACGAGAAGATAGAATTTAATATGTCATTGAACTGCAAACGAGAAAAGACATGAGTATCATAAATTAAGCAATTATCAGATTTTACTCTATTCAGCATATCTCATTAAACTATAAGTCCTAACAGGTCCTCGGCTTTTCGAGGTGAAATAATAAAGGAGGTACATATGCTAGTCGAAGTTATAACATCACAAGGCTTTTCTCCTTTTTTTAAGAGTGGAAGCTCATCAGCTGAATTATCTGCATAATTTTCCTAATAAGAAAAAAAGAAGGCTCCATCTGGTTCTAACTTACCCATCCAGCATTTGTTTTAGCTGGTCCGTGACCCGCTGAAGCCGTGAATTCATTGAAGTACTGAGGAACAGATATACCAAGGAAAAGTGAAAGGCCCACTATGTACAGGTTCCTCATGGAGTTGTTGTTGGCGAATTGAATAAATGAGACACCAACAGCAGCTGCAATATCCAAATAGGTGGTTTTTAGAAGCATTAGCAGGATATTGATAGAAATAATTGAGAGAGAAAATAACAGAGAGTAATCCATATTTTCTTCTAAACTCACCGACGAGTCCAAACAGAATACAGTATACTGCTGCAAATATTGGTAATGGAATTGAAGCGAACAACGCACCGAACTTTCCTGTTATGAAGAATGCTTCAGATATCGAAAATTCAGTGAGTTTCATTCCACATTGAAATTAGTAGTACATACCGAAGATGGAGAAGAATATCATAAAACCAGCCGATATCTGCACGATTCTCCGACTTCCAACGCGTGTCAATCCCAGAAGTCCAACATTTTCACTACAAAACACCTAATCGATTATACTAAAGGAAACTTGGAAATAATCTTTAATAACAGCGTAATGAAGCAGCTAAAAGAACTAAACAACAAAATTTATTGGATGCAAATTTTGCAAGAAAAGAAAAACCTCTTCTTCTTTTATTTCTTAAAGGAAGAGTTGAAAGAAACTTAATATACTTAAATCATTTCCATTTTCTTCTAGATGTAAAATATAAGCTAATTTATTTTTTTCTTGAATCCAAATTAACTACATGGATACGGACAAAATTATCGCATTCGGGACAGCTAGTAAGAAGAGAACAAACAGATACAATGTGAAAAAAAGACACAAAGACGCTACAAGTCTGCAGCGATCAGCATCGGGTGCAAAAGATTGCAGAGCATCAAATGATCATCTATTAATCCTAAATAAAACCTTTTTATTAATCTCTAGGGCATCAAATGATCATCAGCTATCTGCACATGCATTAGCCAAAATTGTAGTCAAATACAAAATACATTTGTGTGAGTTGAAGTAAAATATCATATTCATTATAGAATTGATTGGCCAGCTTCTATTTATTATATTCGGTCTCACCTATTGAAGCTTTATTCATAATTTCATAGCTTAATGAAATAAGCTTGCAGCAATCTGCTTTTGCCTAAGAGGAAAAAATGAAGCCTCAAC